TTTTAAGGTATTCGAGCTGCAGTGTAGAAATTGTAATCTGTTAGGGAGATTAAGATTACAGTGTCCAAAATGCATGAATGTGTATAGATTTGTATGTGTACGTAATTGATTGTTTAAGTCTATAATATAGAAAAGTCTGATTCACACCACTGTCACTGGGTGTCATGAATGACTAGAACTGGGAGGCCGGCGTGGGGGGTGCTTCGGGGCAGGTGTGCGCTCCGACAGGACGCGCTGTGAGCTGTGAGCGGTGATGAGTGATGGGGGCACCGCTCCGAGGGGGCTTGTTGGGTGAGGAGGGGAGAGAACTGGGCGCGGGGAGAACAGATGGGAGCCTTTCACAGCCACCTGGGAATGAGGGGAGGCTCTTGGCTGGGGCTTCATCATTATCAATGAAAAGGAAGAAACACAGACGCGTTTCCAGGTCCAGTTCGCCAGCAGGCCTTACTGACTTGACCGTTAGGACATCCCCATCGCTGCCACGTGGCCCAGGCCACCATCCTGTCGCCTGGACTGCCCTGGGACCCGCAGCTGCCTTCCTGGATTCTCTCCTTGCCTTCCCACCTCTATTCCCAGTAGGCAGGTTCTGGAAAAAGGCATGGCACTCTTCTCAAAGCTTGCAGTGGCTTCTCTGTCCACGATGAAGACGAAGTCCCTGCGGTTGCCCGAAGCCCCCGCACAGCACCCCTCCTGCCTCTGCCCTCGCCTCCCGCCTCCCGCCTCCCGCAGCTAGCCCCGCACTGCCACGTTGGCCTTGGAGCACCCGGGGCACCGTCCCGCGTGGGTCTCCTCTCCCGCGTGCTCTTCCCCAGAGAGCCGCAGGCTGACTTTCCTCTCACGTACTCTTGATCAGATGGTGCCCTCTCCATGGGGCCTGCCCTTCCTACCCCGAGTGACATGAAAATTGCAAACCTTCCTGCTCATCTTCTCCAGATCCTTCGCCTCCTTTATTTTTCCCCACAGTGCCCCGTTCTCATGACTACTTACGCTTTAGGCGACTACCTCTCTTTCCTTACTCTAATCAAAATTCCAAGAGGAAATGACACAAATATAAATTTATAAATGCAATTTCCAAAAGGCAGGGGTGTGCGTGTGTGTGCACGTGTGTGTGTGCATGTGCGTGTTCAGTGGTATATTCCCATCATCTGGAATAGTGCCAGCGGAGGCAGGCGCTCGATGAGTAGCCGTTGCGTGAATGAACAAGCAGCTTTCAAGAGGCACTCAGTGGCTACAAGTCAGTCACCGAGGAGACAAGAGGAAAGAAGGACCTAAGTCCTGCCCTCAGGGCGCATTGTTTTTGGGGGAGACAGCCAGAAAGCAAAGTGTAGTGACTTAGGACAGTGTGCCCAGAGTTCGGTGCAAACCAAGTAAAGGAGCAAGTAATTCTTCCTTCTGCGTCAGGCCTAGACTGTGGATTTGGACTTTCCAAGGCCCATAGGTGGGGGCGAGGTGGGCCTTGGAAAGGGAGCATTGTGAACCAGAGTATGGAGTGTGCATGGAGGTGTTCATGGCAAAGGGGTGTGTCTGTGAAGCCGGGAGGGTGTCAGTGGTGGGGAGTGACTGAAGATGGACTAGAAATGGAAAGTGGGGCCAGGAATGTCATGCACAGGAGTGTTGCCTCCCCATATTTCTAGAGCTCCTACTGTGTGTCAGGTACTGTACGAGGTGCTAGGGCTTCAAAAGTGAGTAGTTCATTGTTCCTGCTTTATGGGTTTCACTTTCTAGAGGGGATGTGGTATAGTTGAGAACAAAAATGACCTCGATTGTGGTGGTGGGAATGGAGAGACCAGAAGAGACTGGGGAAGGACTCCAGGGGTGGGATGAACAGGGTTTGGTGAATAATAAGCAGTGTGTGAGAGAAAGCGAGGGGTGTAAATGTTGAGAACTTTCTTCTTGATTGAGTTTCTGGGACACCTGACATCAGGATATTTAAAACATCTGGAGACCAAAAGCAAAGTGTTGCCGTTCTCCACTGTGAATCTAGGGTCAAATAGACGTCTTTCAGGTGAATTATACCTCTTCTGAGTAATACCAAGAAGAGTTCTTCAGATTGCTTATTTTCATATATTGCTATTATGTAACAGAGATGAGACTGTTATTCTAATTGAGAGAAACTTAAAGTCTTCTGCTTTAAGTTATGAAATAACATGTTTTGGCCACTGCATCTCCCAGCCTGGCCTTTTCAGCAAATTTTATGGCTCATGGGGACAGATGACTCTGAATTCTAGCAGCACCTGCAATCAAAATAGTTCTCATTCCAGAGCCCACACAACAGGGTGTGTTTGAAAGCACTTGAAAGCAAAGTATAAGCAACACAGTGTTCACTTTATCGTCAAACATTATACTGGAATCTGCCTTGCCCCAAAGCCTGGGAAGCCATCCTCTTTGTCCTAAGATTTTGTTACAGTTCCCCTTTCTGATAAAGGAAAGAGTAGGAGAAATTGCTTTGACTAGAGTAGAAGATAAGAAACTTAGATGAAGAAAAAGATGCTATCAGAATTTGTTTGAAAATGATAAAAATCTGGGTGGAAAGACAATCCTGAATGAATGAATTAGTAACGTTTATTCACCCAGTAAATGGTTTACCCAACTTATTACTCTTTACCAATTACAGTTATTCCATGCTTAATTAGTTGTAGATATTCAGCAGATTGATGGAGTAGATGTATTTTGTCTACAGAAACAAAACCAGCCTTAGAAATGATTTAAAACAGGGGTCAGCCAGCTACAGCTCAGAGGTCAAATCCTACCTGCTGCCTGTGTTTTGCATGGCCCGCAAGCCTGGGATGGTTTTCACATTTGTAAATAGTTGGAAAAAATCAAAAGAATAATATTTCATGACACTTGAATATTATATGAAATTCATATTTCATTGTCCATAAATAAAGTGTTATTGGAACACAGCTGTGCTCATTCATTTGTGTATTGTGTATGGCTGCTCTCATGTTTCAACAGCAGAGTTGAGTAGTTGTAACAGAGATTCTGTGGCCTGCAAAGTGTGAGCTATGTCTGGCCCTTTACAGAAAACTTTGCTGCCCTGGTTTAAACAATTGTTTAATTTATTCATGTTTTCTGATTCTTTACTGTGTACTTTGCTGGTTTTGATGTGCAGTGTGGAGAATCTTCACGTAGGATGGCACGTTATTGCATAAACTCCTCTTTTAGTTTAAACAAATCCCTTCCGTAGCATCTTCGAAAGCTGGCCACTGAACATCTTCCTTGTCATGGGAAAATTAACTGCAGTCCTTAAGAGAGCAGATCAGCACTTCTTCCATTTATTCAACAAATATTTAGTGAGTGCTGACTGTATTCCACGCACTGTTCCAGCAGTGGGCGTGATCAGTGATCCTAATGGACAAGAAAGGGCCCCCTTCTTCCTGGGACCATGCACTCTCATAGGAGAAAATGGACCATAACCAGTAAATATATAATATATCAGCGTCACAAGCACAGTGAAGGAAAACCAAGGGAAGAGAGAGCTGGAAGCAAGAGAGGGCTGCTTGAGAGGTGGTGATGGGCAGGGGCCTTCCGCAGCAGTTACAGACGAGCCAGAGTCAGTGAGGTGAAGACCCAGACAGTGGCGTTCTAGGTGGAGGGATCTGCAAGGCAAAGGCCCTCAGGTGGGAGTGAACTTGTCATGTTTGAGAAACAGCAAAGCTACCCTTGAGGCTAGAGCAGAGTGAACAAAGGGACAAGTGATGCAGAAGTGAAGCCAAATATGTATGTATAATATGGGTGGAGTGAGGTACAGGTTATGAAGGGTACCGAAGGGCAGACTAAGGACCTAAAATATTTATTTCTGAGAGGGATGACAAGGTTTTGAATAGAGAGCTGAACTGATCTGACTTACATTTTTAAGAGGATTATTTAAACAAGTGAGACTACATGAAACTAAAAAACTTCTGCACAGCAAAAGAAACCGTCAACAAAATGTGAAAAGGCAACCTACCAAATGGGTAAAAATATTCACAAATCATATTGAATTTATTGGGGTGATGCTGGTTAACAAAATTATGCAGGTTTCAGGTGTACAATTCTATAATACACAGTGTACACTTTAAATATCACTGTTTTATATGTCAGTTATACCTCGATAAGCCTGGAAAAAAAGGATTGCTTAAGCTACAAGTATGTTTCTACTACTCTGAAATTTATTACAGATGATGACATTTTGTGGATTAAAGAAACCAACCAACCAACCAAAAAACATGTCAGCACACCAGCCAAAACAGTTAGCTTTAAAAGGCTCTGAAATATTGTGGAATGACTCTTCTTTAACATAAGTGATGTCAGACTGTCATAAAAAGGGGATCAAACCAGTACTAATTACAGGGCACTGTCTCATTAGTTGAGTATTCAAAGGCTTAGGTCTACATAGTCGTTCAGGTCCCATCAGGAAACAGGTGGCACATTCAAATTGGGAACTTGGGCAGGGTGTCGGGGAACCACACGGACAGTGCAGTGCCCTGGGGCTTGTCTCCGCCAAGCTCCTTCCACTCTGGACCTCGGGCGTGAGGGAGGGGCGATTATAGCGAGGCAGAGAGCTGTGTGTAGTGGCCACTTGACAGGACTGGTGACCTGAGAGGACCCTGCAGGGCGGGAGCTGTTCTCCCTCTTTCTGCTCCCTTGTGGGTGCCCTCCTGTGAGAGCCTCTCCATTGGCCAAACCCAAGGGGGTCTTTTGTTAAATGGTCAGCCACCTGGAGCAAAGAACAGGGTAGAAAAGCAAAGGGGCAAGTGGAATCGGATCTTAGGAGACACCTAAGACACTTTTTGTGAGTTCCAGCTCTGATGCCTGCCCTCCCCCACATTAACCCCACCCCCAGACACAGCACAGATGAGCACCCGTAAGTGTGTACACAGACCACACACACACACGCGCACACCCCCTTAAGTCCCCTCTGGTATTCTGTAATCACTTTTCCAGCGAGGGCAGAGGAACAATTCATTAACTGTGAAATCTGAGGGCATTTCTAATGATTTCAGTGGTGTTTGATTTTACAGTATATGCCATTGGGTATACAAGGAAAGATTTTGATAGCTCTACACACCTCATCTCTCATTTCTGATAAAAAAAATTCAAAGCACATGTGTTGCCAATGGTAGAATTAAATGTTCTATTATTTTTTAAAAGTCTCTTTTATAGTTGGACACAGAAGGAAAAATACAGTGATGCAGAAATTAAAACCTTGGTGAACTATATTCAGTTTTGGCTATTCTGGTTAAAAACAAACAAAGCAAGCATTGAATTTTAGCCTCTTTGATCCCGATGGTTTTAGTTTTCCACCGTTGGACATATTAAAACTTTGAAGACATAGAAGTACTATTCAGTCAACTGCTTCTTTCAGCAACTTCTGTGATGTCCTGGCACACTGGAGGCCTTCAGTTTCCTTTCAGGCAGGAGCAGTTAACTCTGAATTAGTCCCTCTCTGTGTGAAGTCAGGAGCTTTATATTTCATACCAGGGGGCAGAGAAGAATTCTTTTTAATGATTTGATCTTTTAAAAATACTTGACTTTTCATTTGGTTTAGCTTCTGAGAATCAAAGGTTCTAATAACAAAATGGTGCACTTGGCCAACAAGTCTATAGAAAGAGAAATGTGCGTGCGCCGGTTTTAGGGTATTTTGTAGAGGGTGGTTCCTGTCAGAGGAACTCAAGCTATATGGACGGTCATGCTCATTTTCCTCTCCGCTTTTTCTGGAATCTGGCTGAAAACCAGGACCTGTGGCACATTCCCCAAATTGGAGGCCTCGCTGAGGACTCAGGAGGAAAACGGAACTCTTTCTCTTTTCTATTTTTGGTTATCCTTATCGGTCGTGTTGTAAAACAGAACCATAATTTATTTTGCTTCAAGCTCAAGGAAAAAGAGTCATCTTGAACTTCCCATTCGTTTTCAGGAACCAGAACAGGGTATGTTTTTGTTTCATGGCTTTTGCCCACGGGTAAGCTTTGCAGCTCAGGATCATTGATGTGGGTGTGGGGCGTGGGTTTGGGGAGCACACCCTGTGGGAGGCATGGTGTTAGCATGCAGGGGCTGTAAGCATGAGCCAGGCCAGGCCCTAGTCCTGAGTTGGGGTCTGTAATTCTGCTCAGGAGATCGAATGCATGAACAGATAGATGACCTGCAGAGAGAGAGCGCGCCTCCAGAGAGGAGGACAGTGCTGTGGAAAATTACAGGGGGAGAGAGCGCCTGTCCTTCTGGCTGGAGAGAGCAAAAGCACAGCTGGCGCTGAGCCGAGCCTGCAAGGCTCCCGAGTGGGGTAAAGTCAGCAGTGCTGGATGTGAATGAGTTCTGGCTTCAATGATAAGCCTCAATTTTCCTTATCTATAAAATGGTGATATCTTTACCACCGGTGCCACAGCACTTTTATGAGACTAAATGACAAAATGCACTGTAAACAGTGAAGTACTCAGTGCTGTTGCTTATTGTTGTGGTTAATATTATCAAATGGTGTCAGTTAAATATTTACATACTTGTCATGCTCTGTGTCTTTCCTGGCTTGTCTGTGGTTTTCTAGGATTTTGATCTAAAATAGTTACTATAAATCATGGTGATCTACTAGGCTAGCTCCACATGGAAGGTGTTTATATGGGGAAGTCTAGCAGATCTCACAAATGCAGTGGAGAGAGTCATTTATTACAGTGGAGGGAAGTCCCTGGATAGGGGATCTGAAAGTTCTCTTCTTTGGGGAAGAATTAGGCATGGTATGGTTGAGTATGTTAATTCTCAGATGCCTAATGTTCTGGGTGTGAGGTGGCTATAGTACTTGAGAACTGGGACTCTGATTTTTAAGGAAAAAATACTAACACTATTTTTTTTTTTAAATTGAACTTCCTAGAGTCTTTCTGAAAGAGACTTCCTTTAAGAACTTGAGTTGACTTAGAGAAGTAGGAGTTGTGGTAAATTCCTTCCTGAGAATAGAGATTAAATGGTAGTGAATTAAGCTGGAGAACTTGGAGCATGGAACATGTTAGTGTTGTATGTGGGGAGGGATATAAATGTATGAGATTAGGGTTTTTTTTTGTTTTGTTTTTTTAAAAAATATATCTTTATTGATTTCAGAGAGAGGACAGGAGAGGGAGAGAGAGAGAGAAACATCAGTGATGAGAGAGTCATCATTGATGGGCTGCCTCCTGCAGGCCCCCTACTGGGGATGGAGCCTGCAACCCTGGCATGTGTCCTGACCCGGAATCAAACTGCGATCTCCTGGATCCTAGGTCGACGCTCAACTTCTGAGCCGTGCCCGGCCGGGCTATGAGATTTGGTTTTAAAAACACATGCCATATATTCAGCTGGAGATCCTAGTTTGAATTCAGTCCCCAAATAGGCCCATCCACACGTTTCAGCATCACACCCTGTGCTAAAGATGACTGGACCACTCTTCTTTGGAATTGGTCTGAGAGGTGGAGTATGAGCTAATCAAGAAAACCAGCCTCATAGTCACAGTCTTTTGTCTTTGTTAAATTTACAGAAAAATTGAGATGATACTATAGAGTTCTCTTATACCCCCCATCTCGTTTCCCTTACTTTAACATCTTACATTAATATGGTACATTTGCTACAATAATGAACCAATATTGATACCTTATTATTAGTCCATAGTTTATTCAAATTTTCTTTTTTTTTTTTTAATCTGGGTCAAAAACTGCCCTATTCCACTCATTGCTTTATCCCATCACATTGAGCCGTTGCTTCCTGACAATAGTGGCTTTTCAACAAATACTGGTTGAGGGAATAAATAAATAAGGTGTTCTGCCTGCCCCTGGGTGTTATATGTAGTAGGGAAGGATCAGGCCACCCAGCAAATGACATGCACATTAGTGCTTGGAGTTCAGGAGCAGATGGGGCTCCACTGGATGAAGCCTGGAACTGCCATTTACTCACCTTGTGACTTGGGTAAGTTACCCAGCCTTGCAAAGCCTGTTTCCTCACCTGTGAAGAGTGGGTGATAACGGTTTCTACCTCAGTGGGGTAGGAGTAAAATGAGTAAATGAAAGAACATGTGCGGGAGTATGCAGACCAGGGCCTCACACACGGGGAGCTCTGCGTAAGTGTCGGCTCCAGTTTTTACCGTGCAGGGTGGCATGCAGTCAGTGTGATGAGAGGTACCAAGTGGTATGGGGAGTCAGGCCATGGAGAGGCGTGAAGTTGGGGGGTTAGGGAAGTTTTCCTAGAAAAGGCAGCGTTTGAAGTGGAACTAAAAGAATAAATCAGCTCTTACCAAAATGACTTTGACTGGAGAGAGAAGATACCAGGTTGAGAGAATATAATACACAGAGGTTCAGAGGTGGGGAGGTGACAGAATGTCTTCTGGAGGAAAGAAAATCGTCCACTATAGGTGGACTGTAGTCTAATGTGGCAAGACAGTAGGACCATTTATAAGGTCGTAAATGGTTTTTTATTGGTATAAATTTAAACTTTTAATGCTAAAAGTTTTCAAATATAGAAAAAAGTAGAAAGAATAGAGCAGTGGACACCCATAGAATCCCCATCTACTTTAAACAGTTATTAACATTCTTTTGTATTTATTTCATCTGTATAAATTTATACATATTATGTTTTGCTGAAATAAATGATACTTTACGACATTTTACCCCTGAATGTTTTAGCAAGCATCTCCAAGATATAAAGAAGCTGCCTTAAGTAAACACACTACCATTATGATACTTAACAAAGTTAACAGTAGTCCCGAAATATCATTTAATAACAGTCCATAGTCAAATTTCCCAAATTTGTCCCCCAAGTCTTTAACATGAAAATCATTTTTTAAACCAGAATCCAAGCAAAAGACCATGTATTACTTCCTTTTTTAATTATCATGCCTCTTAAATCTCTTTAAATTTAAAATTCCAACTAAGATATTAAGCCTTTTAAGCTTTGAGACACTGAGATGATTGTGGTGGTTTCCCCTTTCCTGCCCCATCTATTATCTATGTAATTCAAAATAAAAACCACACCGAATTTCAATAAAATACATGTAAGAAAGTCCAAATAGATTCAGATTTCTCCCAGAAAGGATGACGACTTTGGTGCTAGTTGCGAAATCTCAAGCCATCACACTTTAATAACCAGCATATGCTTACTTGTCTGGAGTAGTCTGGCACTAGACTCACAGAATTCAGTACAGATACGATGACACATTGTTTCCAGTTGAGCTGAATGTCCAGTGTGTTTAAACCTCAAAGATATGAAACCACCTCCTTAAATACTACTGTGTAGACACACAGAAGTGATTTTCAGTTCTGTTGTATGTATATGCCTTGCAGACACTGAGCTCTAATCCTTGCGGGTAGTTTCACAATATTTCTTTAAGCCCCAGTTAGGACTGTGGGTGCAATTGCTGTATGAATACATGAAGTCTGTGATGGGAAACTCGTACCTGGAAATTGGAAGAGAGTTGGGTTGGAAAGCAGTGGAAAGAGCCTGGTTAGTTTCGCTTCAACCAGGAACGCCCTGCCCTGGTAATGCGTGGGGCTCCTTTGTTTTTGGCCTTCCCTGAGTCACAGACAGGCATGGCTGGGCAAGTGTCTAGAACTGATGCAGGTATTAGAGTGGGTGTGAAATGCCCACCTGCCAGATCTACAGCTTCTATAACTTGCAGAATAATCCTGGCCTCCTTTGGAACTCCACCGAAGGGGAGCTGGGCATTTGGGGAATGTTTTCTTGCAAATGTGCGCCCTTAATTGCCTTTTCCTAATGATCTCTCCTTGTTATACTTTGGAATTGGGGCTCTTCTGAGGATTATTTCCTTCTACCTCACTTGCAGGTGCACAGTGCGTGCTGCTTTAATTGATTTAATTGATTCCATCTAGCCTTGTTGTGGATCCCAGCCCACCTCTGCTGAGAGCACGTTTCTCCTCGGTTTTAACTTTCACGCTGTTTCTATTGACCCAGTTGGAAGAGGTTCAGTGTAGCGCCTGCTTGTTTTGTTTTCTGTCCTTAATTTGGTTTGTCTTTTATTGTATTCCAACTGAATGGATTCTTTCTCTTTCTCTTAAGGGAAAGGAACCTAAGAAAAACAATGCTTGCGGTAGTGACTGCTTGTTAAGTGTATTGCTGTTTTATGTTAATATGCATGTTAAAATGAGCATGTAGGGAGTTGCTAAATTCACCAACCTGTTGTCTCCCAAGTCTAGTCCTTTTAAATATATTTGTTGCTTAAATAAAGATGTAGGCATGCAGAGTGAAAATGCCCAAATGTACAGGTTTTTATGCATTGTATATATAGCATTTAAAATTTTTATTTCCATCAGCAAGAGTCATTATAGAATACTTGGAATTATAGAAAAGCAGAAAGCAGCAACCTAGAGGTAACTAGCCTTAACAGTCGGTTAATGTCTTGTCACTCTCTGTAAATGGGCATAATTTTGCTATAACTGTCTAGAACTTTTTGCTACTCGCAAGTCCGGTCTGTGGGTCACCTGCACTGACATCCCTTGGAAACTTGTTAGAAATGCCAACTCTTGGGCTCTATCTCAGACATAATGAATCATAATTTGTATTGAATGATATTATACATACACTGAAAGCTGGAAACTCTAGAACACAGCATACCCAGGGCAGCATGTGAAGTGGGTATGACCCAAAGGGCCAAGACCTGCTCTCTGCCCTTCTCCATGTCCCCTCTGCCACTTTGGCCTAAAATAACTTCCTCCGTATGTGGTAAAGATAAAAAACGAGATCAAATTTTTTTTAGCAAGGCATAGCAACCCAGTTGAGAAACCCAGCTGTCTCATGCATAAACATTTCATTCAGCGAGCATTCGTTAAGTGCCTACTGTGTTCCAAGCGCACGTGTGGCTGGCATGCACCCCGCAGTTCAGGCTTGCACACCTGAAACCTATGTAACTTTGTTAACCAATGTCACCCCAATACATTCAACTTAAAAAAAAGGCTTTGCTGCATATAGT